GTTCGATGAAACGGAAATCCAGAATTTGAGAGTCACCCTATCTTCGTAAGTGATGTGAATATAGTGCAACTCTTTAAAATCCGAGTATTATATGACATTTTACTTTACCTCTTCGTGAATAGGACCATTTCTGCTGAATATTTTCGGTATTTGTCTTCAAAATAAAACATATTCTTTCTTTCACTCTCTCACCGAAATGGGCGCGAATAATTTAAGGCTCGGAATCATATGTATCCGTAACGCATAGTGGATTCTATTATCAACACCAATGTGAGCTTCCCAGTATTCAATGTCAGGTTTCCCTGGCCGCTAATTTCGTCCATTTTACGATTGTTACGTGTTCATTAATAAAACATAACATCCAACAATGTATTATTGCTGCATTTAATGTATGCAGCATGTTCTGCACTTGTTGCAGCACTTTATGGGAAATTTCTGCAAACGTATTTAAACCGTAAGCGAAAACATAGAAGATGGATACATGGCGCAGTTTGTAAAACTGGAAAGCAATTGTACCATTCAGTCGAATGAGGCAATATTCTGCAATTTATAAACTGTTTAGTAACAGAACAATACCATTTCTTTAAGCATAAAATTTAATGAAGGTGTAAGTTGCTACCAAAGGAGTACGAAAAATAATATTATTCATAAATTTTTCTATAAAATATATTAAAATGTATTAAAGAATCCAGACCGGGCAGGTCAAGGTTCACACGTCCAACACCGATAAAATTTGAGGCCAACGGCAAGGCGGACCAACTCAAGACCACCTGACTCAATTACCACTAAATTCTGACGATGGAAGCGAGAAGGTTTTCGAAAAATCAGTTCAAATATAATTTGGTCCATGAAGCCGCCCCCTCTTCTTCTTCCTTACCTTTGGGAGATGATGAACGCGTTAACATATCTGGACCCCGAATCTTTCGGCATTTAAGAATAAATGCATATATGTACATTTAGGTCATTTGAGTTTACGTGGTTGCATTTTGGCTTACCATAGTACAATATAAATTGAACAGCATAAGAATATTTTGAATTAAAAAAACTAAGGGAAAATCAAGTCTTCCTTCTATTTATTTTACTTTATAGAGTTGCTATTGGTTCCTTCCTAGGTTCTCTTTCCCATCTTTTTTACTTCCCACGCTAATTAGCGCGGGAAAAATGTTCGTTAGTTACGTAATTTGCTATTATTATCTGCTTTACGCTCCACTTTTAATTACTCTTTTGTTTCCTGTAATATGACCCTCACCTATACCCCATGGTATCAACGTTACAGCACGAGAAAATCCTGAGGCAAGGGATATGTGAGGACCAAGGCCAACGGTATTGTGGGCATAAAGTTCACACCAGCTATATTTACCATGCTTCATACTCATGGCTCACTAATGCAAAAACTAAGATATAATTAGCGGAACAAACAAATACGTGTGCAAGCACTGTTGGCTTTAAAACAAATATAGGCGTACGGTTGATGACGCTACATTTCACTGAAAACCTACCGCCCACTCAGATCTCTGGTAAACAGTCGTCATCAGTGCATTTTCGATTGCACACACGATTGCATTGAACGCCACCCAGTATGCACTCACGCCCTTAAAGTAGCACATGTACACAATGAACGCATGTGATTCTAATGGCACAGTCACATGCAGGCGGTGGTATATACACAGAGGGAGGCAGTAGTGCACTTTCGGGCAGACAGAGATCGACGCACCCAGACTGAATTCAAACACCTGAATGCTGACACGTCGGTCGTTACTACCGATGTTGGCTGTTGTGCAGGTACGGATGCTGAAAGTAGGCCATAAAACTATTAGTAGGCTTTTGTAAAAATTCGGCTTATTTATG